GCTGTGCGTCTCTAGAAATTCCATCCCGACGGAGCAGAAGCATACCAGCAAAAGTGTCTCGCGACTAGACGCAAGCGACATCTGATGTGTGCGGTTTCAGAAGTATAATCTGCCCTTTAGCTTCAAAGGGTTAACTGATTAAAATTTCGCCCACAGCTGCGTTAGACGTTTTTTCACTGGGCTCATCCCACTGATCTCCATTTATTAGATCACTGGCTTATCTGCCTTTCTATTTGTTTACACTTCTGACTGGATGGGCGAAGTCACATGACTAGACACACGCTGCCGTGTCTTAAAGGTGAATGAAATACCGGCCTCCGGCGCACACTAGAAAAACATCAGAATTATTTACCCACCAGGGCAATTTGCACCTGTTATCATAGTGAATGACGGTAATGTGAAACAAACCAGTTTATCGGCCAGCTCTATTCCCCTACTAACCCACAGTGATCACACAAATTATGACAAAGTATTGATTAAATACAAAGAACAGGTTAACCGAATGAAGATGATAACCAAGATGAATGAAAATACAACCAGAATAAATTAACATAAAACAAAAATACGGATATCGGCAATATTACATTTAATTAAAAAATTATAGTTAAATTTGGCTTTTAGCTCTGTGGTGGCCCATTGAGCGTGACGCCCTCTGGTGGCCAGGACCAGTACTTACACCAAGACTACCATTTTCACTACAACCCCTTCTTTGGTTTGGGTTCCATCAGAACCGCCTCAGAACACACCGAAACAAAGTATCTATATTTCATAACATGAAATATAGACATGCTTTTTAGGGTTAGTGTACATGGTTCTATCAGCAGCTGTTGGTACTTGGACCAGAGTTAAGCAGGTTCTGGTTAAATGCCTGATTTTTAGCTGAACAGTTCACTAGCGTGATCCGGTTCCTAAAGTGAGTCATTTCTTGAACTCGGTTCTGTTGGGAATCAGAAAGTTCTTTAACCTGCCAGAATTGGACCTTTCACAGTGTTAAAAAAGGAAGTTTGGTCCCCATGAAGGCGGTTAAGCCTCGGAACTTCCCTTCCGCTTCTTTTCCTGGGAGCAAGTTCCTAGTATAATTATTCTTAACTCAAACTGGGTAAAACTAAATAAAAAGGACTATAAAAACAGGAGTGAAAAAGTTACAGAGTTTATTCCAGTTCTGGTCGTTACAGGACAGAGAAATTGCTTGGAGTCGGCACAGCGGTCGGCTCAAAACGTCAGCAATTGAGCCCCGAACAAGTTTTATCTCCTGCTTCTTATTCCTCATGAATCTATGTGTTGCATCAGGTGGATGCTTAGCTGTTGGTGTCAGAAACTGACGCCTATCCATTCCCTGACCTTTGTGCCTCTTGCCTCAGGATTACAGAAAGCTCTCCTCTATCAGTCCGGCTCCAGGATGTGTCCTCATCCTGTGTGTCTTCCAAAGACAAGAAGACTGTCCTCATTAGATGGCCTCTGTTCACACAGCATAATCCACCATGTGAAAGAAGGCCTTCTACTCCATCTAATCTGGCTAACAGATTAACAACACACATGATCAATAAAGAATAAACCTAACAGCAGTTCAGACGGGTTCAAACCTCCATCGACCCGGTTCTGTTTATCCAGTTTCTGTGTGTAATTAAGGTTCTGTTCTGGTTCCAGTTTGGAGGGACGCTTTGAGGATGAGGAGCTGCAGCAGATCCTGGACGACATCCAGACCAAGAGAAGCTTCCAGTACTGAGCTGCTGTTCTGATCCGGGGTACATGTGGACCACCTGGAGCTTGGAGTTCTGATCCGATCTGTCCCGTCGACTCCTTCAATAAAGTCTTTGTCTGTTTGTTTTTTTAACCATGTCTGTGTATTGTTGTCTTCATCTTTTAAAAGTTCTGGCCTTCATTGTCTGGGTCAGAACCAAACTGTTACACGTTCACACAGTACTTGGTACCACCCTGATCCAGTAAGGCTTCAGGCAGAACTCCAGCTGCAGTCCTCGCCATCCTCACCGTGTTCCGACCCGACAGCTTCCTCTCGTACTCCATCAGCTGCCTCCAGAACCCAGCGTTGGGTCGAATGAAGGGTCGGCACTCCAGAACCAGTTCATGGGCCTGACAGAGGCTAAGACCTTCAAACCTGTAAACATAGAGCAGATTATGAAACCCAGTGGTTCTGAAGTTCTTGTTAGCCTGGTCCGGGATAGGACCAGGCCTGAGCCAAAATAGTACCTCATCAGGTAAGCCATGATCAGAGCTGGAGAGCGGCTCCTGCCCGCCGAGCAGTGGACCAGAGTGGACCCTCTCTGGTTCTGATGGATCCGCTCAGCCACCGGGTCGAAGTATAGACTCAGTGGGGCATGGGGTTGGTCCTGGACGGGAACATGGAGGACCTGCACGCCGTCCAGCGCCGGATACGAGACGTCCTGCAGTCTGGTAGCGTTGATGATGAGGGTGACATTCCTGCTGGTCAGAACCGCCTCGTTCAGTGCTGAGTCCAGATCGCTGAGGAAGAGCCGGGCCGAGACTCTAGAGACCCGCATTATGATGGTCGGTCAACCTCGCAAACTTTCTGGAAAATGGAGCAAAAGATTCAGAACCATCGGTGTTAAACCAGGAGTTTTAGCGCCACATTGTGGTTAAACTTCAGTAAGTCTGAAGGAGGTTTTCTAATCTTGATAAAATAAACAAACTGAGGCGACTTTCTGTTCTGGAAACTCAAATATTAGCTGAGAAAAAGATAAATATCTCCTCAAATTGTGTTAAAGCTCTTTAAATCAGCCTTTAGGTTGGTCTGCAGAGCTCCATAAATCTAAAAGTGAAGAGAAAATGATCTGTAAAACACTGAAAAGATTGCATTTCACAAAAATAACAGGAAATAAAAAATAAAAAAAATCATTAAAAAAAACTATTTGAAAAAATGTAAAAAAGAAAAAGTTATTCAAAATACATGTTTTGATGATTCAGTTTAATGCAGCAGCTAGTGATTATTTAAATCTGTTTTGATCCAGTTGGTTTCACAAACTGGTAATACAAGCCTTAATATATCAGAAACAATTTTTTTTTAAAGCATATTTCTTTTTTTTTTTTAACTTAAAGACACTAAAAGTGTGATGTCAGGAGTGGGATTCGAACCCGCGCCTCCAGAGGAGACTGCAAGGTGAGCATTACAATGTTATGAACCCATCGGGAACCCCCACATTCACTAAAACCGATCTATGAGTCACGATCACGTGTCGATCATGTTCGGTCCTGCTCTAGAAACTTGTCTGTCCCTCCCTAGTTTAGGATATTTTCGGCAGGGTTCAGTTCCCCTCTTGCTGCTTCAGGTTTCGTTTTTCTTTCATCATTAGAGGCAGCGGCTACAAACGGAGAATAGACCGGTTCAGGAAAGAGAGCACACGATCGGGCTAACAGTACTTCCATCCAGGTAAGGCTTCCTTTCATTTACTCACCCGTTCGGGTAAACCCTTCTGAAATTAACATAACCACGCCAGACCTTGCACTTTAAGTCATAAACAATGCTCCAAATTAATCGCGAACTAAAATCTCGCGGTTTTCTCCGAGACTGGACGAAATTGCTGTCTGTCACGCAGTGCGTTCAGACCAAACTTCATATAAAGAACCACAAATTTATATTTTTCTTCTTAAAAAAATCCTCTTTGAATTACTTCAGTATAAAATCTTTATTTGGTTTCAAACTGCGACGTTTCGGCCCATTTGATCCTGAGTGTTTACATTGTTTTCCTAACTTTATAGATAGTTTTTACATTATGAAACATTGCGCTACACAAAAAGCACCATTGCGATAATAATTATGGTATTTTGTGAATTCGTTTGAGCGTTTAAAAGTCACTTATAGGCAAATATATTATGAAATAATCTAGTTACGTGGCTTAAATTTGTAACTAAATATAATAAATAAACACTCTTCAAAGTGAAGCGGCCACAAACCTTTGCCAGTCGCCATATTACAACACTTCTCTCTCCTTTTTTTATTTATTACTTCTGAAGACCGAGCAATTAGCTAACTAATAGAGAAAAAAAAGTTCGTCACCACTTAGACATTCGCTGTTAACCTTGAGCCAGCAAGCCTCCATGATGGAGAAAGTGCAGGCACAACGCAGCGAAGTCAGCCGCTTCCTTCAGAGGGCGATTCTTATGGAGATTCTCACTGGATTAGGGGGCATAACTGCTCAGACAACAGAAGGATTACTGGAAATAATTATGAGTCAGGCAAAGCGTTTTTCAACTACTCTTCAATAGAATAATTAAAAACAAACTAATGAAAAAGGCCTTGAAAACATGTTGGTGCCCTTAACTTAATATTTGGTTGCACAACCTTTTGAGGCAATCACTTCAATCAAAATTCCTGTCACTGTCTACGGCTACGTAGGTTCACACTGCAGCCTGAAGTGACCCAAATCCGATTTTTTTGCCCATAGGTGACCTGGATCTGATCTTTTCATGGCAGTCTGAACAACACAGATCCGATCTTTTGCAATCCGACCCAGGCCGCTTATGGGGTCCTGAATCCGATACGAATCTGATATTTTCAAATGCGACCTGTGTCTGAACAATCAGGTCGCATTCATCCGACCTGAACGCCATTAGTAACTGTAATAGGTCACTATTCTGTTTCTTGCTAAACAGAAGCGGCAAGAAAAATAAACCCCATGGCGGACGATGATGCGGAGAGCAGTATTTTGTTTAACCATCTTGAAAAGATTGAGGTTTTAAGGTTTGGGAAGCGCTACCATCCATGTTTACATCCATGTTTACTTCCGTAAACAGAGCATGCTGGCTTCTGACATCATTGCGTCCTCTACTGCGCATGCGGGACACTTAAGCTGTATGAATGCAGTTTACACAGGAGTTTTGTGAGGGATTTGCACAAACCAGCCAGAAAACCACTGACATTTTTCAAAAAATGTCTTAATTTATTCCAAATATTTTCAAAAAATGATAAACTGGGTCCAAAAAGAGGTCAACAAAACAGAATTCAATTCAGGCTTTAGCATAAAGAACTCAAGCACAAACTGACCTAACAAACAGGACATGAGGGAAACTTAAATAGTCGCTGATCAGACCACCGTTGACACACAAGGGGGGTAACTGACTAACAAACTAATAAACAAATAAACTTAATTAAACAGATAAATACTGGCCAGACACTAAATTCTTTTTAAATTTAGCTAAATAACAAAATTACCCAAACTAAGAATATTTAAACAAAT